GAATGTGGGAGGGCGGTGCCGAGCTAACATAACAAAGGTCGGGGCGGAGGGGGCGCTCTGGCTGGCGGGTGTGGGGATGCGGAAGGGGCGCGCAGGACGGGGGGTGGCGGTGCCGTGCCGAAATAAAAAGGGTCGGGGCGGAGGGGCGCGCTGCTTGGAGGGCGGGGTGGGCGGGGTGATGCGGACGTGGCCCGCGGGATGGGGGGGGCGGCGCCGTGCCGAAACGAAGGGGTCGGGGCGGAGTGGGCGCGTTGGCGTGAGGGCGGGGTGGGCGGGGCGATACGGAGGTGGCGCGCGGGATGGGGAGGGCGGTGCCGTATCGAAATAAAGTGGTCGGAGGAGCTCTGGACACCATGTGAAAGAGAAAAACCACCGAAATCGGCGGCATCTGAAGGGGAAGGGGAATGCTGGAGCTGGGCAGCCGCCCAGTCGTCCAAAGCGGGCGCCTTGGTGCCGAGCGAAAACTCTAGGTGCCTAGGTCCTTGCCCAGCGAGGTGAGGGAAGGCAACCTGGCGCTCCAGCCCTTGATGGTCAAAACGAAAGTAGACGCGATCCGCACAACCTAATAACAATGACCTGGCTCGGCAAACAGGGCTTGAACCAGACTGGCTTGATGGTCTGGTCGTCTGGCCCTTGGACGCGGGAATGACGCGCCTGGATCCTTAGCGCGAGCCCTCTTTCGAGGCGGGACCTCTGAACAACCTCGGGCCTGGAGTCTCCCACGACACAGACCCGTCCAGAACCCCCCCAAGACCCAAGACGGAACCATCTGCGGAGAGAGGCTCCGCAAGCCTTGCCAACTATGAAGTCGGGCGCCGCAGGAGCCCCTTCAAGCAACGGATCCACGGAGGCCTCCACGACCGAGTGGCCGTTCAACTCCCAGGTGGAAGCATCAAGCGCCTAAAGGTCACGGTCGTCAGGAACCTCAACGGCGGCACGAGCAGTCGGGTTGCCGCGCGCCGCGGCACCAGCTCCTGGAGCCTGGGTGGGTGGGGCAGAGGTGCCTGAGAGGGGGGCCGAACAACCTCCAACAAACAGCACCCCCCGCACATCGCCAAACAACACTCCACCTTCTCTGCGACAAATACCGTCCAAGTAATCCCAATCATCCTGCGAGACATCACAAGTGACATCCGATGTCCCAACCACACCTTCCGAGTCAACGAAACCACCGTCAACAAACGACTGTTGGGTCCTCGCATGCCAGCGGGTCACATTCCTGGATACCTCTTCGACTCCCTGAGCGAAAGCCAGATATTGGGGGGAATGCTGCTATCCGGGAAAGCCTCTTGCCCTGCGATTGCCCTTGAAACGCCCCTCCTCTGAAGCAGCCGAGGACAGAGCAGCGTGAGCTTTGACTGTGTGCCAGTGCAAACCCAAGACACCTCAACGATGTTGCACGAAACTCTTCCACAAAGCTCCCTACAATACTTTACTTTCACTACGGGAATTGCCCCATCGAAAGTCAATCGTCTGATAACCCTCAATCGCGCCAGAACGCAATTCTTTGAATTCAGCGACGCGAATCAACATGACTGTTGCCTCCGGACGATTCTAAGCCGAACTGAATGGTGCCAGAACACCACTCCTCGGATTTCAACACCGCGAATCAACGTGACAGTTGCGTCCTGAAGCCCTCAATCGTGACAGAACTCCGTCCCTGGGACTTCGGCCCCGAATGCTTGGGACTGTTGCGAACATTTAGATCTAATGCGCGCAGCGCTACGGCGAAAACCACATTTGGAAACAAAAACACCCGCCCTCCATCCTCGAAATTGTTGCATACCTTGAACACGAATGTGCGCGGCGCTGGGGCGAGACCACCCGCCCTCCATTTTTGAAGCTGCTGTAGAGTTTTTAGAACGAATGCGTGCGGCGCTGGGGCGAGAGCGACATATTGAAAACCACCCGCCGTCGATCGTTACAAGCGTTGCCAAGTTCAAGCTGTGAAATCACTCTCCTCGCCTCCTGCTTGATTTTCCTATTTGACTCACTTCTTCATCGTCTCTCTTCCTCCCGCTTCCTCCGCACCCCTCCTCTCGTCCCCTCCTGTCCTCCTATGATCATGCGCATTACTACTATTATCCTCTCTGCCTCTCTCTCTCTCGCTTCCTCCCTCTCTTCTTCTCTCCTCCCTCTCTGTCCTCATATTCTCCCGACCCTCGCGGGCGGGCCGGGCGGGCGGGCCCCGACGGGCCGGTCGGGAGGGCGGGACAGTAGCGGGCTTGCACTGAAAGCAAGCGGGCGGATCCTGATGGGCGGGTCGGGCGGGCGGGATCTCAGACAAGGGCGGGGCGGACACTGAAGGGCGGGTTATTTGGGCGGACCTGACGGGCGGCTCCGGCGTGCGAGGACGAGGGCGATGAGGAAGAAGAGACGACCGCCACATGCAAGCACACAAACTAGGGACGACGCTGACGGGCAGAACAACGACGGCAACGAAGACTGCGAATATTCGGAGGAAGATGACGCTCGTGATGACGACGATCATGATGACGATGACGACGGCGTCGGCGACGATGAAGGCGGCGACGAAGACCAGGACGACGACGACGACGACGACGACGACGACGACGACGACGACGACGACGACGACGACGACGACTACAATCGGAGAAAGCATTGCCCCGACTCAAATTCAAAGTTGCAAGTCGACGTTCTACTTCCGCCCCCTCGTTCGGACGCGGAAAGTGGGACTCCTCGAGGCCCGCCTTCATCGCGTCAGCCGCAGCCTCCTTCGGGCGTCCAGGGGGGCAAGGGTGGAAGTGGGGAACCAGAGGGACGGGACAGCCCAGGGGCGCCTGTCTCCGTCGCCCGAGGAGGATCAAGGGGGAGGAGTTTCTGCTTAGCGTGTCGCGGCGGCGGCCCCGGAGACACGCCATATCTTGCAAGCGTATAGCGCGTCGCTCCGCTCCATGGGGCGGGATGACTCGACAGGCTCGGGTCGTGGACGCTTGGAAATGGGAACGTGGTCAGCGCGTTCCGCCGAAGCGTGGTGGGCCAAAACCGGTGGCGCGACATGCTAAAGCGAACGTTCCGTGAGGGGGAAGAATGGGAGGATTATCAGGGTCATGATGACGGGGGAGGGGGAAGGGGGGAAGCGAGGGAGGGAAGGAACATGAGCAAGGTGAGGCGGCCATGGTGACAGGAAAGAAGGGGGGGGTGCGGGCGAGGAGGGGAGGAAAGGAGGCGTCCTCCTGCATCCATCACGCGTGACGCGTCCTTCCCTCCTCATCGTCGTCCTTCTCCTCGTCCTGCCCCTATTCGGGCTGCTGATCCTATTCTTCCTCCTCGCTATTGTCCTGTTTTTTCTCCTGCTGTCCTGCTCCTTCCCGTCCCCGATTGAAGCGCTGCAGTGTATACGTAGCACCCCGCAGTTGCGGATAAGAGTGAGGTGGCGGCGAGGACGTCGGCAGTCTGCGAGGCTCTGAAGAAGCCCACCGCAGGCGCATATTTTGAAGCTATACAACGAGCCAGCCGCAGGCGCCGATTTTTTTAAGCAATGGGTCGCGGGTTGGGTCGCAGGTGGGTCGCGGGTGGGTCGCGGGCCAGATCTTAGACGCCAGTGGCCGTCTTGGGGCTCTGATGACGGGCGGCGGCATGGCCATGGTGTGGCCCAAGGGTCGGGGCTAGCCCCGATATACTCGTACAGGAGAGGGGAGGCAGGAGCTGAAATCAAAAACAAATCCGACTTTCCCCTGAGTGAGGCGGTGCAGGGGCCCTGACTGCAAAACCCGATGGTCGCCAAGCCACTCCAGAGACAAGAAACGCCCAAACGTCCCCCCCAATGCCACGCACCCCCCAGTGAGGCGTTGCTCGATTCCAGTCACAGGTGTGCGCCCGAACCCGGCGGATGGGAGTCTAGAGGCAGGCCCAGAGCCCCCCCCTCCAAGGAACGCTTGCTCTGGGCCTCCTCCTCCTCCTCCTCCTCCTCCTCCTCCTCCCTCCCACTCCACCTCCTCCTCCTCCTCCTCCTCCTCTTCCTCCTCCTCCTCCTCCTCCTCCTCCTCCTCCTCCTCCTCCTCGTCCTTTGTGCGCTCCTCCTCGTCCCCACGCGCGCGCGCAGGTTGGGCCCCTGTCTGTATCTCGGCCTTCGGGCTCCTGCAGCTTCTTCTGTTGCTGCTCCTGGCGGGCCAGGAGGGCCCCCATGGCCGTGGGGAGCGAGGCCCCTACTTGGGGGCGGTGGGGACGCTTGCAGAAGGGGACACCGGCCAACAGAGAGGAGGAGGAGGAGGAGGAGGAGGAGGAGGAGGAGGAGAAGGAGGAGGAGGAGGAGGATGAGGAGGGGAAGGATGATGAGGAGGAGGCGGAGGCGGAGGAGGAGGAGGAGGGGAAGGATGAGGAGGAGGCGGAGGCGGAGGAGGAGCAGGAGGAGGACGAGGAGGGGGGAGGAGGAGGAGGAGGCAGAGGAGAAGGAGGAGGAGGAGGCGGAGGAGTGGGAGGAGGAGGACGACGAGGAAGAGGAAGAGGAGGAGGAAGAGGCCCCTAGTTCAGCGTAAGCGATTTTGGGGTCGATCTTCGGTTCAGCACAGGTGTCCGTGGCGCCTCGATGTCTGCAGCCCGATACATGTCCAGGGGACACATCTTGAGATGGCGGTGTCTTCTCCGTGGCATTGGCTGAACCTGAGGACCTTTCCCTCTCTTCCGCCGACTATTCATCTCGTCTTCTCCCTCTCGCCCTCCTTTCCGCGTAGGCGGGCCCCAGAGGCAACTCAGCCGATGCGAGGTCCAATACCGGTCAAAGCGTGGAAGTACGGGCATCCGCTCGGAACTGAAGTGCCACTGGTATGTTATCGCCCTCCCGAATCACGGGTCAATGCTTACCCCTAAGCCAGCCCCGCTGTGTTCGATGCTGGGCAATGACATCAACTAATTCGACAAGTCGCGGAATAGCGTGACATCAAAACGGCCACCTGCACGACAGAGCCCCCCAGAGCAGAGAATGCCGACAGACAGAACATTGAGAAAGCGATGTCTCTCATCAAGCAAGGGGAATTGAGTCACGCTGCTTGGTGAACAACCCTTCGATACGTGGACCCTCCAAACCCATCCTGGTGCGTCAGAGCCTCCGTCAGCGTGCGGAAATCCTTTTGCGCCTTAGCATGCCGCGATCGTCACACCAGCTGGCCAGCTCCGGACACACATGGAGACCAACCTCGGACCTCCGGCCAGCCCTGGCCCGCCTGGCAATTATCGGATCGGTGAGCCACAGGTTTGACGTTGCCAGGCTACTGGGACCATCGGGAGAGGAGTCCCTGAGCGATACATCAGACATGTTTATATATTTGCACAGAGGCGGATCTACATCTCATCTTTTTCTATATTCATATGCAGCGAGAGGCGGTACACAACGAGAGACAGAGATGCAACGATTGGGCGAGATGGGAAGTAGAGAGAGAGAGAGAGAGATTGGGCGAGATCGGAGGTAGAGAGAGAGAGAGAGTGTGTGTTATGGGAGGTAGCGAGAGATAGAGAGGGATAGAGCGAGATGGGAGGTGGGAGGAGAGAGAGAAAGAGAGAACACAATATTGGACCTATGCACACAGAGGGAGAGAGAGAGAGAGAGAAAGCGAGAGAGAGAGAGAGATAATGAGATGGTCTGAAGAAAGCGAGAGAGAGAGAGAGAGAGGAAAGGAGAGAGAGAGAGAGAAAGACATACACACATATGCATATATATAGAGAGAGATAGGGAGAGAGCGAGAGAGAGAGAGAGAGATGAAGAAAGCGAGAGATATAGATAGACATATACATATATACATAGAGAGAGACAGAGAAAGATACATATATACATATTGGAGAGAGAGAGAGCGAGAGAGATAATGATATGGTATGAAGAAAGCGAGAGAGAGGAAACGAAAGAGAGAGAGGGAGATAACTACATACACAATCATGTATATACGAGAGATAGGGGAGAGCGAGAGAGAGAGAGAGAAAGAGATAAGAAGAAAGCGAGATATATAGAGATCGACACACACACACACACACATATATATATATATATATATATATATATTATATAGAGAGAGAGAGAGAACAAAAGAGAGAGAGAGAGAGAGAGAGAGATGATTGGGCGAGAGGCGACACAGAGACAGCGAACGGGGGGGGGTGGAGGGACAGAGGCCGCGCGAGCCCGCCGACCAGCGGCCAGCAGGGCCGCACCCTCGGGGCCTCCGCCCTCCGGGCGGGGGCGCCCGGCGGCCCCCCGCGCCAGGGCCCGCGCCACGTCGCCCAGCTCGGAGAGGCGCGAGCGCAGGTCGGCGTGCTCGGACCTCCCCGGGGGGGGGGGGGGCGTCTCGTCGCCGGCCTTGCTCGCTTTCTGTCCGCCTCGCTCCCCGCTCTCTCGATCCGTGGCTCTGCCTCTGTGTGCCGTTTTTTTTTTGTTCTCCCTCTCTCTCTCTCTCTCTTTATCTCTCCATCTCTCCCTCTCTTGTGTGTGCGTGTGTTTTGTTGCGCGCGCGCTCTCCCTCTCTCTCTCTCGTTCTCTCGCTCTCTACATCTGTGTGTATATGTACATCTCGACTTTCTGTTATGTTATATTTCTCCCTCTCTCTCTATACTTTGGTCTCTGCCTCTCTCTCAATGTGGGTCTCTCTGTTTCTCTCTGCGGGGTCAAACGTCATACTTATGCAGTATACGCACACATGTTTTTTTGGTGTGTACCGATGGTTTTAGTTGCACATCGATGTGACACAACACATATAGGTGCATGTCTAAATCCACAACATCCCCCAGACGCGGATATGAACGACCCCCGCATACATTCGGTTAGCGCAATAGATAACACGACCACGTTGACCGCCTGCATTGTACCCCCCCCGCCGCTCCAAAAGTCGCGCCCCTGCCCGAGGACTGCACGCTGTCGCGGAGGCGGGCGAGCTGGTCGTCCCATTTGTCCCGCAGCTGGATGCGCTCCGCCTCCGCCTGCTTCCAGGCCTCCTGGCTCCTCTCCTTCGATGGGCTGAGGGCAAGCAACGGTTCGGGGCGGACGAAAGGGGGGGTCGTAAAGTGGGGGGGTCAGTACATCAGCTCACGCAGCTGGTTTTTCCGGCGCCTCCTGGCGCTGCAGGCGCCAATGTATCGAGGCATGCGACTGGCGGCGGGTCCGAAACCAGCCGCACGCAGCAGATTTCAGAAGACATCTTCCTGCTCCCGAGGGCGGGAACATTAGCACATCCGCCGCCCTCCTCGGATCCAAGGCAATATTCCAGCGGCCGTGGATGCGGCCGTCGTCTGGCGGCGCACAACGGCTGTGGCCGCGCCCCCCCCGGGAGCGCCTCGGCTGCGGCTCCCCGGGGGCGGCCTTCCTGGAGCTGGCACCCCAGCGGAGGGGGCCCAGCCCTGTGCAGCTGCGTGGTTGCGCAGGGGGGCGGCCCTCTCCCCGTACGCTGCAGGCGTTGCGTGGGGGAGGGGGAGCTGAAGAATCGGCACCGTGCATACAGGGGGGGGGCACTACCACGAGTATGTCGCCGCGCTGTTTGTTCTGAAGGCGCCCAAGTAGTCGAAGTCGGCACAGCGGCAGGGCCCACGGCGAGGCCCTGCGTCCGAGGCAGAGTTTGCCCCAGTGGCCGAGGCGCCCTCCCGAAGCTGTGCGCGGCGACATATGAACACACGTACATCCCCCAGTGAGCTGTTCTGGGTCATCAGGGGGTTGTGGCGGTGTCTAGATCACCACGAAGAGGCAACGATATACACCTTGAACCTCCCCGAGGGTATAAGGAACAACAACTCACTGGCGAGCGTCTGTGTATAGATTTGTGTGGCGTAGATGCGGAGCAGGCGCACAAACGCGCGCTGAACTCACTGTGGGGCACCTGTTCCCGAGAGGGGTGTGCTGAAATGGGCCGGGCACCCCAATGCGAAGCCGCCCACCGCAGGAGGAGCTTCCCTAATTCGGGTTTTGCTAGAAGTGTCCGTGTCTCAAGGTGCTCCCAGGATTTCCAAGGAGGCCCCCGCGGCCTCCAGAGCACCCCTCACGAGGCCCAGAAGGCCACAGGGGCCCCAAAACTAAGTGGAAAGCTGGGGGCACCTTGGGCCAGGGGCACCTTTCGCAACCTCCGACTAATCGGCACCGGTCCACAGCATGGGTGTGCCGAGCGGGGTGGGGGTCCGCATGCGAGACCGTCCTCTGAGGCCGTAGGTGGAGCTTCATATCGAGTACGATCCACCTGAAAGGGGTGCGTCGACACGGGCCGGGGACCGCATGCGCAGACGCGCACTGAGTGAGGCCGTAGGTGCAGCTCAATATCGCGTACAATTGAAGCGTGCTGAAGTGGAAGGAAGCCCGCTTGCGAACGCTCCCACTGGACCCAAGAACGCCACACGGCAGCCCGAAGTGCATCCACTTTGGCCCAACGACGTCCGCAAGACGCAAGGGGGCTCCAGACAGCCCGAAAGAACCCCAAGGCAGTCAAGGAGGGCGTCCAGAGGGGCAAACGACGCCGCTAAGAGTCGAGGGGACCCTGACGGCCATGAGCGCCCCAAGACGCCTCAAGAAAGCCTCACGGGCCCCAGGATGCCACTACTAAGAAAGCCAAAGAGGAAGTCAAGTTGAAACTAATGCTGAATCCGTCTTTCCCGGGCCGTCAAGGCAACACTCTTGAGTTCCAGAAATCGACAGCCGCCGAGCGAGCTGCACAGCGATTGTCGCCCACAAGTGCCTTGCGCTTGCTGAATGGCAGGGGTCGGCGGTGCTTCGCCGCAGTCGCCTTCGATGAGCACTACGTTCATGGCCTGAGCCAGCTCACCATTCGCAGGAGCAGCGCTGAGGGAACGCAGAGGATGAGCTTTTAAACGAGGATCGGCAGGCGCATGTTTCCAAGCCTGCAGTCCTCCAGCCTCGCTTGCACCTGCGCAAGCTTGGCCTGCCCGTCGGCGAAGCCCTCCAGCAGTTGCCCACGCAGCCGGCTCTGAGACTCCTGCAGTTCCTGGCGGCGGATATATCATCGCCAATATGTTTTTTTGCAGCGACATCGCCTGCGCGTTCGCTCGCTTCGTCAGTAATTCTTGGCCCGGAGCGCCCAAGAATCGGTGCACAGGAATCCCTCCTGTGTGTGAACAGGAGCAAGAGTCGGGGGCGTCTAAGAGGGGGGCGTCCAAGAGGGGAGGGGGGGCGCAAATTATGGCCAGCGGCATGTGCGCGGCCGGGATAGGAGGATGCGGGCCTCTCCCTCCAGCGCCTCGTTCCCTCGATCCCGCCCTCCCCACCGCTTCGTTTCCCCTCTTTCCTTCACTCCAGCCCCCTCCTGCTCGGATCCCTGCTGCCCCCCTCACCGCCGACCTCCCCTTCACTCCTCCCCTTGGCGGCGCGTACGAAAGGGAATTAGGGGGAGGGGGGAAGGCTTCTTAGAGGGAGGCTGTTTCTTGGAAGGCGCCGGCCCCACATCTACAGTCAGGGCCCGCGCCCTCTAAGAGGCAGGGGTGCTGCTAAGAGGCCTTCCCCCCTCCCCCCTACCCCCCCCACACCCCAGGGATGGCTCATCGACGGCCCCCAGGGGACCCACAGGACAGCCTCAGGGGCCCACCTACCTGCCCGAGTGCCCCAAGACGGCCCAGGAGGGCTTCAAGATGGCCCGAGAGAGCTTCACGAGTCCCCAAAGAACACCCGAGAGGGCCCCAAAAGAACCCCAGACGAGCTCCAAAACATCTCTTTCCTATGGACCTATTTGCAACATCTATCTTTCTATCCCCCATCACCCCATCATGATCAGAAACCAATGATGAAAACTAACAGCTTTCCAATTGATGAGAAGGGGACTCCACCATGCCAGAAAATGCAGAACAGGCATAAACATGTGTGAGACCAGCAGCAGTTCCAGTGGGCAGCGTGGTTGCTCAAAATGGCCAGGGAAGAGGGAGGGAGGAGAAGAGGAGAGCAGGCAAGCAGGGAGGATGCCGACCACAGGCTCCTCACTTATGAACCCATGTGCTCCACGCAGGCCTCGAAAACTGATGCTCTGAACTGGAACATGCCAAACGAGGTTTGAACATACTTTGGGATCCCGCTTGCCGATTTGTGAAACATGCGCAACTTACAAAACACCGCAAGCCCAGGAAACGTACATGGCAACGTGTGCAACATCTGGGACGCCATCACACCGCATGCACACACGTATAAACGCGATGTAAGCGGATACTACACGACACACATGTTTACAGGTGATGTGACATGTACGAGACGCGGCAACATGTTACGAACATTCCACCGCGTCAATACTATTAACGAGCTCGAGCTGCACAACATGGTGTGGGCAATTGTTGAGCCGCTTGAGGGATTCCTTATTCACCTCAAGAATGCTGGGCGGGGGTCCATCGACTTGCGGCAGGTGGACAATCTGACATACAGCGTCCATATTGCAGTGTTGGCTCGATTGTGCAAGCTTGGTGTATTGCTGCGCAAGGGCAGGATGGACGGGGATGGGGAGGGGGGCGATGAGGAGAACGTTTGGGAGCAGAGCGGGCTTTGACTCTACAGTGGGCCTTGTGCACAAGCGTGACCCTAATGTCCCCGAACGGAGGAGCTGCGAGAGCAGCACAATGAGCAAGCAGCCTGGCGGCTGGGCGCGGGTGAGGACCTCACAACCAAACCATGGCGCCCCTGGGGACGGCCGGAGCAGTGGTGCGGGCGTTAGGAGTAGCGAGGGGGGGGGGGGGGGGGCAGATCTCTGACGTCATGTTTTAGCTCACGAAGTGGGCCCCTGTCGGCTGCACGCGAGAGGGGCCCTGGGCAAGAGTGACCTTTCGTGCGCGGCTTCAGGGGGACACAGCGGGGCCAAATCCAGGCTTGGAAGCCAGTGCTGGGGGGGAACTGGGCACCGGGGGCGACCCCTCTGGGCCCGCACCAAAGGTCACTCCGCCCAAGGGCCACTCTTGGGTGTAGCCGATCCTGCAACTCTCGGCCCCATCCCCGGGACCGGCTCTTCGATGCTGACCGCGCCTTGGCAGTCTCCAGGGCCAGGACACGCCCCCTGGAAGACGAGATCACAGACCCTGTGCAAATGACACCTCCTGGGCTGCTATACGCAGGTCTGGCAGAATCACCACCTCTCTCGGGTGTTGCCTAGAGTGCTCGGCCCCCACGGCCTCCAGAGCAGCCCTCACGAGGCCCAGAGGGCACCAGGGGGCTCAAAATTGGAGCGAAAGGCTGGGGACACCCTGGGCCAGGGACACCCTTGGCAACCTTGCGGGGGTGGTCTTCTAAGAAGGGAGTGGTCTTCTTAGAAGGTGGGGTGGTCTTCTAAGGTGGGGTGCCTCTTACACAGGGGGTAGACAGGGGGGCCCTCTCAAAAGGCCCAGAAGCTTCAAAAAAGGCTCCTTAGAAGCCGGGAGGGTTTCCCAAAAATGCACCTGCCCTCCTAGACGCCGCCCCCTGCCTCCTATGGAGGCCGCTCCCCGACGGGACGCCCCCCCGTGCGCGCCGCCAAGCAATCCGCGACTCTCCCGCACCCCCAGCGCCGACGCCCCCAGCGCCGACGCCCTCGCGGCACCGAGACGAGCGGCAAAGCGGAAAGAGAGGCCCGCGCGGGCTTCTAGAGGCCTCCGAAGCGGGGTCCGAGTAGATGGGGTCGGAGTATCGGGCCGCATCCAAGATGCGTCGCCGATGCCTTGGCGATGCTTTGGTGACGTCGGCGATGCATCGGCGTTGGCGATGCATCGGGGACGTCGGGGTGGAGAAAGCCTGGCTCCGCATCGAGCCGCACCGCCGATGCATCGGCGATGCGGCGCGACCCTCCGACCCCATCTAATCTGCGGAGGAGGAGGAAGAGGAGAAGGAGGAGGAGGAGGAAGAAGAGGAGCAGGAGCAGGAGCAGGAGCAGGAGGAGGGGGAGGAGGGACCGTGTAGTGGCCGTGGCGTTGCACCGCCTGCACCTGAAGTGCCCGTCCTCGACGCAGCGCCAAAGAACGTGGTCGTCGGCCCGCTCGAAGACGACGGGCGCGCGGCGCTGGGAGAGGGGCTTCGGCATCTCCTGGTCCTTGCCAAACCTCTTGAGCGCCGCAGCCCGAAGGCGCGCCTGGGCTAAGTACTGCAAAACCAGCCTGCGTTGTTTCAGGGCCGCCTTTACAGGATCAGCAGTGACGCGAGCAACCGCATGTGGCGCCGCACCGAGGCGGGCGAAGTAACCTGCCCAAGCATTGCCGATCCAGTCCTGCACCTCCGCGGCGTCCAGACCAAGCAGATCGCTAGCAGCGCGATGGGCTGGAGTCCAGCGCAGCACATGAGCGCCTACTAGAGATCGCCTCCTCGCCGCACTAAATATGTCCCGCCGGACGCGTGCATGCTTCGCCCTCGCGCTCATGAGGTCGGAGCTCCAGGTCATGGCCTCATCCACTAGGCCTCGAAGATCAGTGACGATCTCAAGATGGTCGGGATGGAGCTCCAAGGCGAGCTTCACCGCATAACGTTCCGCCCTTCCAACCGTCTGTACGAGGTAGGGGAGCGGCCCATAGACGGCCCGTATGGGCAACCACGTCAGTGGGTCAAGCTGGACCGCCGCCTGACCACAGGGACGTAGCTCAGGCAAACTGGAGTCGAAGCCCGAGCCGTCAGTATATGACACAGGAACCCAACGCCCTTTGGTGTCGCCCCAGTGGAAGAGCTCCTTGCCGATGGAACTCGCTTGAGGAAATCCCACAGGGGCCTCGGGTGCGCCGAACACCAGGTAGGTCTGGTCAATGTTGGGGGTGCCAGTGCTCACTCCGCCTGCTCGGAGCTGGTCACGGACCTCAAGTAGGTGCGACGGAATATCGAGGAACGCTGAGCGCTTGCGAGTTGCGTCAGTGGCCAGTGGCCACTGACCGCCTCCGCGGTCTCCTCCTCCTCCTCCTCCTCCTCCCGCTGCCCAGGAATGGGGCTACGTGTCGACGAGGGTGGCACCTTGTCCTCAGGGAGATCCTCCTGGACGTCGCAGTCGCCAGCGTCGCCAACAGCAAGAAAGAAATCGACGTCGCCTGCTGCCGGCTTGGCGTCCATCGCCGTGCGGTTCGCTGTATTCTCAGCAGTCTGACCATGCTCATGTTCATGGGGAGGAGTACCACACACGGTATGCGTTATCCCGCTGGGGTCTGATCGCAGGCTGTGGTTCAACACCGCGGTCGACAACGTAAGTCGACATGGCCGATGGCTCCGCAGGGCCGTCCTCGAGCAGCGCGGGACAGTCCAGGAGGACGTGTCCCCAGCAGGTGTGCTGGTCCAAGACGCGACCGCAAACCTGGCACGGGCGAGTGGGCTGCGAGAGTTTCATGTCCCGTCTAATAGGGATGGGGATTTGTCGGCCCAGTGCGCCTGCAACGCCCCCAATCGTCGTGGATTACGGACTCCAGCGACAGCGTATCGTAGACCGTAATGCCAGATGCGCTCGCCACGGTGCGTGTACCAATGCCTCTGCAAGCGCTCGTGCTGCCACCGCTGGGCCCCTTGTAGCAGAAAGGGTCTTAGGTCGGCAGGGCAGACCTGCATCAAGTCGTACAGGTTGCCAAGGTCGTCGGACACGACATGAGGCGCCACAAGGTCCCATCCAATCCGTCGTAGCGTTAGTATGGTGGACCCCAGCGGCCCACGTACGGTGTTCCACTGGAGAGCACTCGCACTGCACGAGGTTAGAGACGCCCACGCCGGAGGAGGAGGAGGAGGAGGAGGAGGAGGAGGAGGAGGAGGAGGAGGAGGAGGGGGAGGAGGAGGGGGAGGTGACCCCATCTCGGAAGCCTGGCGAATCGGCGAGAGAGGCCCGCGCGGGCTTCGCGAGGTCCCTCTGCTGCTCGCTCTGGGCCTCCATGGCCCGGACCGCGAGGTCGTGCTGGCCCCGGATCGCCTGCCGGACGTCTCCACGGGCGAGGGCAAGAGAGAGGCGGCGGAGGAGGAGGAGGAGGAGGAGGAGGAGGAGGAGGAGCGATGCAGCTTGACAGGCACATCCAGCTCATCCAGAATGAAAGGCCCACTGCAAATGAAGTTCCAGAAAACACTGTCACCATGTTTGTGTGCTACGAATGTGGTTTCGCGACAGAGCAGATCAGGACTTATAACATGCACATGGCTAGGCAACACAAAAACATGAGGGATCCGATGTGCTGGGCTGCGGGTACGGAGTGCCAGTGCTGCAGGAAACAATGGCATACCCCGAACCGCCTTCAGGTTCATTTAAGAAGGTCCCACAAATGCAGGTTGGCATGGGACCAGGCCGGGTACAAGGCTGGGGAGGAGGAGATGCAAGCTTGGAGGGATGCTGGGAGAGAGGTACAGAAGAAGAATCGCAGCAACGGTAAGAGTGATAATTGGGCGGAGTTCCCCCCCGTGCAGCTCTTTGGACCCTCGTTTTGTAGAGAGGCTCACTTGGGGCATCTGGAACCTCCCTGCCTCCCTCCCACTGTGTGCGTCCCCATCCTGAGACCTCGGCAGAAGCAAAACCCCATTGACCCAGGACCGAGCAAGGAAGGGTTGGAGCCAAGGTCTATCTTCTTGTGCTTGTGCACGGGAAACAGGCGCGACGGTGACTTTATTGAGTCACTTGAACGAGAATTGGCGGACAGTGGAAAAAGGGCCAGCATTCTCACCTTAGGGGATCAGGAAGGGTGGGGACAGCTTGCGCTGCCACACGTGCTACGCTTTTGGGCTCAGCTCATCCAGGACGGTTTTGTTGGGGGGCTTTGGGCTGATCCCCCCAGAGGTACCTGGCAGGCTGAGGGGGCCCGTACTCGTCTGCCGCGAGACCCCAGCTCTCCTTGGGGAAGGAGAGCCCTCCGCGAGGTAGAGTTCACTCCCGTACGGGAGGATAATCGTGCTCTTAGGGCGGTGCTCTGGTTGACGCACGCCTGTCGTGGCGCGCAAGTTCCATTTGGCATCATGCATGCCCCGTGGGCCAACGAAGCCTCGCAACCCACCATTTGGGGACTCAAAGAGGTGAGCATGCTTGAGGGATGCAGATTGGATTGCGACGGGAGTAGCATTCTATTGTCTGGTGTGCATGCTTCCATCCCTCTCGTGTCCACTCTCACGCCTCTTGCTTGCGTGGCCCAAGAATTCGCCGCTCTCATCCATTCATCCAATCACCGTGACCTAGCTCCTGAGCTCACTGAGCTGGAGCTCAAGCTGGACCCTTATGGTTTGGGACCTCTGGGGGGTGAGGGTGATGAGGGGCACGACCTGCCAGCTTAGGTTGTGGTGCGGCCAGGTTTTTTAATCCCCTTTACTGCCTCTGCTTGCTGCCCTCTCTCTACTTAATCCACTGTGATAGGCTGCGTGACTCAGAGGCCTTCATCATCGACCGACCGACCGAGGAGGAGGAGGAGGAGGAGGAGGAGGAGGAGGAGGAGAAGGAGGAGGAGGAGGAGGAGGAGAAAGAGAAGGAGAACGAGGAGGAGGAGGAGGAGGAGGAGGAGGAGGAGGAGAAGGAGGAGGAGGACGAGGAGAGAGGGACCAGGCGGCGGACCACGACGCCCCTGCGTCGGGGACAAGATCACGACGGAGGGTTCTTGACCACTCGCGGCCTCCGGGGGCCCTCGCCAGGCCCCGTTACCGTTATCTCGACGGTGAGCGAGGGGGAGAAGGAGAAAGAGAAGGCCTTCTCAGACGGCGGCGGGGCTTCTCAGAAGCCCTCTGGCCTTCTGAGAAGTTTTCAGTGCCTTCGAGGAAGGCTTAGAAAACTTCTCAGAAGGCCGGGGGACTTCCGAGCCTTCTGAGAAAGCTCGCCCCTTCTCACTTCCCCGGGGCTCGCCGACCATTCTCGGCCTCGGGGGCCCTCGCCGGGCCCCGGGACCGTCATCATCAAAACATACAGTCAACCCGTAACATGACGCACCATAAGGATGCAAGGGCCTTGGAAGGCCATGCCGACACTTTGTGAGCGGGGCGCGACCAGCGAAAGCGGCCAAGGATGGGCCGAAGGGGGAAGGATGCAAGGGGAAACTTGGGAAGTCGCTCATCCTTACTATGCGGGTTGACTGAACCCAGGATGAAGAGCCAGTTCACGGGAAGAGGTCCAGACCTCAGAGCAGCCACGTCGTGAAACACACACACACACACACACACACACACACACACACACACACACACACACACACACACACACACACACACACACACACACACACACACACACACACACACACACACACACACACACACACACACACACACACACACACACACACACACACACACACACACACACACACACACACACACACACACACACACACACACACACACACACACACACACACACACACACACACACACACACACACACACACACACACACACACACACACACACACACACACACACACACACACACACACACACACACACACACACACACACACACACACACACACACACACACACACACACACACACACACACACACACACACACACACACACACACACACACACACACACACACACACACACACACACACACACACACACACACACACACACACACACACACACACACACACACACACACACACACACACACACACACACACACACACACACACACACACACACACACACACACACACACACACACACACACACACACTCACACTCACACACACACACACACACACACACACGTCGGACGTCTGTGGAGGGAGGGCCATGGCCGTCGCCGCGAGGTCGTGCTGGCTCCGGATCGCACACAAATGTCTCGGGGCGAACGGGAGGAGTGGCAGGAGCGGCCAGCACCGCATGGGGAGACCGATTCGGATCGGAACGTGCGTCGGATCGGGTTACATCGGCACGGAATCGGGATCGAATCGAATCGGCTGCGCCGGGATGCCCAACAGCGCCATGCAAGCATCGGTCCGCATCGGATGGTCGGAATGTCGGGGTCGGTTCGAATCAAGCTAGCCAGAAACGAGACCGAACCCAATTGTGATCGATGATGCGTTTTCAAGCCAAGGCAAAAGAGGGCCCTAAGAGCCAAGCGGCGGCGAGTGGCGTACGAGCGTGTCATGCACACACTATATATCACACCCGTGAAACTTTGTCACGAGCTAGCCAGTTGGCAGCCACTCTTAGGGGCTAGTAAAAGGGCGTCTCCAAACGAGACGCAGCGTAAGGCGGCTAGGGTGGCGACAATAACATCACTTCCCCGTCGGGATAGTGTTTACTCTGGCTCTAACCAGCTGTTTCTTCGCTTTCTTGATCGTTGACTCCGGGTCCGGGGTAATATCGTAAGTACCAGTGGTCAATATGTTGACAAGGAAATCATGTGGCATAGCTTTAGTGAGGCTATCTACGGCCATGACACTCGTATCGATCCAACGGATCTTATCGCAGAACAACTTCGGGTGCAGGATTTCTACCTCTTCATCACCTCGTGTCCAAATGTCCTGACGGAGACTGCTCAGGTCAATACTCAAGCGCTTATCCTCCGTCTTTCCCATAGTAGGCGCTGTTAGGTGCTCTTCAAAACTCTTACAATCTGTCATCCAAAGACGTCTCATCGTCATGGCTGAAATCTCTTCCCAGTCTGAAGGGAGTTTATTAGCTACCCCAAGCATGCCTCGCGCATCAGCGATGGCAGCACGTATACGCACACCTGATTCTACACCCCAGAGACAAGCCAACGTCTCTGCTTGCAAAGTAGATTTGCACACACGCCTAATAACCTTGCTCGATAAACATATAAGGTGAACGTAATCACTGCTCCCCTCGACAAATCCCGGCCCTGCAAGTCCGTTGAACCTGGCCCTCTGGGATCTGAGCGGCTCCAAGTTGCCTCTTACAACATCGTCTTCTCCAGCCCAGCTGGCATCCGTAACGGTAAGGGCGATCATGTCCTTGTCCCACAGCACGGCGCCAGCTTTAAACACAAGTCCGCTGTCCGACGTCTGTACTGCTTCTTCCAAGACGCGGTTGGCCTCCTTAAGGTGCAATACCTTCGCATGGGTCACTGCCGTTTGCAGTCGACTCACGCGGTAGAGGAGCTCGGGCTTGCATTGCCGACAAACCCAAGACAAGGCACCTACAACTGACCTAAGTTGGGATGTCTCTCCTTCGTTACAGCGCCTGGTGAGGGGGCAGTCCCTGGGATAGGATACAGCTTCTATATTTTCGATGTTGTCCTTGGCCATGACGTGGACGGTATAGTCTTGATCTTGAGCAATTTCTAACCCGCAGTAGCGAAAATCTCCTGAATTGACCTCTCCGATGTCGAACTCTGCCAGCACGGAGTCAATAATCCTCTGGCTCTCGTCGTCTGCGGCCCATAGTATGTCGTCCACATGTGTGCCTATCATACACGTAATCTCGTTCTTATCATTAGATAAACTGAGAAGGGCTGGCATGATACGGTTCTCTCTTAATCCGTGAGCTTGAAAACGTTGTCGGATCTTCTTCCATAAACCTCTCCCAGCGTCACGCGTTCCATAAACAGGCATACGAGCTATAAGCGCCCCACCATCCGGTACTCCTTCGAGCCCGTCGGGAGGTGGTTTTTAATAACATGAGACGGTCGAGTTCTTGACCCTGAAAATAGGCTGAAATGATATCAGCGCATTTCAACGCCTTCTTCGTGCCTGCGGCCCACGATATTATCAGCCTTAAGCCTTGTAGCTCACATGTTGGTGAGTCCGTGCGGATGCCGAGAGATTCCTCGAGGTCTCCTCGTACCACAAGTCTACGTTTGTATTGTGGCGCAACCGGTGGTCCACACGGTCTGCGTAAATATTCGTTTTTATGTACCTCAATCCATTGCGTGGGAACCATGCGATATCCCTGGTCGAGGAGCTTCTGCAGTTCTGAGGAATCAATGGTTACGGCAGCACTGAACCTTCGCCATTTTCCCCACTCGTCTTGT